AATGCTAGATGAACTACAGTTAGTCACCGGGATTTGCGATGCAAGGTCTGGTCCAACATTTACAAAGAATTTGTTAAAGCTATTGACGACTTCATTCATATTATAGTTTTCACTATCTTTTTCTATATAATAATTTGGGTATGTATCCTTATTAGTATTATTTTTAATTATTCCATTTAATATGCCCCATACTTTTTTGATATTTGTTCTGTTTACATCCAATAGATTTTTATAATATATTTTCTTACTTGCTCTTATAATCTGTGTTAACATGTTTTTATAATTCTTATATTTGCTTTCAGATTCTTGTGTCCTTAATCGGAGGAATTTTCCATAAAGCCTATTCTTTTTTTTACATGATTTTTTTAGTCCTCTGGTTATCCAGGGACACTTTGTGTTCCTTTTTCTATTACTGTGATATTGTATTGGACAGTATTGATTGTACAGTGCAATGAAAGTATTTAGGAAGATTTCATATGCTCTGTCGACATTTGTTTCCCTGTAAATGTTGTTCCAGTCCTGCTGCATCAAAGCATTGTTCAGTGCATTTATATTATCTTCATTTTGTAATCGTTTCATGCTGTGATCTATAAAGTTTTGCCTTATAGTGCATTTTGTATCAGATACCAAAAAAACCGGCAAGTGGTCTGTTATATCACATATCACCAAGCCGCTTGACATGCAGGAAAATATATTGTTTGTAAAAATATTATCAATAAGGGTAGCGCTCTGAGATGTAATCCTACTTGGTCTGGTAATGGTTGGATAAAAACCCATGCTATACATTGTATTAAGAAATTCATCTGTAGCTCTATGACAATTTGGATTTATTAGATCAATGTTGAAATCACCACAAATATATACAGTCTTGTTCCTACTCTCAGAGAATGTCCTTTCGATCCAGTTGTTGAATTGATCTATACTTGATCCAGGGACTCTATACACACAGCTTACTAATACATTTTTATTTTTTTCATTATATACTTCAACTGTTACACACTCTAGTAAATTATCAATTGCTCTTGTCAAATTTGGGACTACCTTGAATCTTAGATTAGTTTGAACATATAATGCTACCCCACCCCCCATTTTATTTACCCTAGTCACATAATTTAAATCATATCCTGCTAGTTCAAAGTTTACTCCTTTCTCAACATTAAACCAGGTTTCAGATATGGCTATGATGTTAAAGGGTTGTGACAAATGTTTGAGATACTCATTGATTTCATTGAAATTAGCATACATACTTCTGCTATTGAAGTGTATTATTGAAAGCTTGTTGGATATATCTGGAAAATTGTTAAGTTCACCTGAAGTGTAATATTTACAGTTCACATTTAGATTATAAAAGAACATATTATCTGGGTCTATTTCATTTTCAATGTCCTGTTCTCTGTGCTCAGTATAGTTTACATTTATGTTACATTGATCATACATTTCACACCTCTGTTGTAGATTAGTCATTTTGTGTATGAAGATAGTGATGTTTTGTAACAGTGCCTGCTACCTTTGGTCCATGATGGTTCACGAAGATGAAGGTGCAGAAGAGTCATCAGTGAATCTGTCCAGTTCCTTTAGATTTCGAACAACCAAAACCCTCGCCTCCTCTGGCGGCCCGTTTAGCTTAATAAAGATCTTGCAATTATTAGTCCATGTACCTTGGATTTTGTTCTGCTTCTTTAGAAACCTTGCTTTCCTTGCTATCTCCGCGTTTTTCCGGGTCAGGTGATCATTCATATATACATTCGTTCCTCTCAGCTTCTTTCCTTGTTTCAACAGCGCTATCTTGACTTTTCTGTTCGCAAACCTCAAAATCACCGCTGGTATATCCTCCTTTCTCCTCCTGGGAAGAGGGTGACATGCCTCGATGGAATCCACGTTCAGGGCAATGCCCTTTGACTGGAGAAAGGCCGCTACCTGGTCCTCAGTGGAACTCACGTCTTCCTCACTTGGCTCTTGTCCATGACCAGCGGCCGCTGCCCTTGCATACGTCCGCGGTCTGATCTTTAGTCCCGTCACTATCACATCATTGATCCTTGTGTATTGCTCCAATTCGTCCACTCTCTTTTCCGATTCCTCGATCCTCTTGTCCTTCTCAGCGTTTTCGAGACGCAGCTGCTTGACTTCCTCTGTAAGCGCAAGAATCTTTCTCTGGTCGTCTCTGATCGCTGCGACATCTGCCGCTAAGAACTCAAGTGACTTTTTAAGATCCTCGGCTTCATCCACTGGCGGGGATGCTGCCTGTACTTTCTTTGGCGGCATTTTGTTTGAATTTGTTTTGCAAGTATTTTGATGCACTCACTGTAAACAACACGAGCGGCTCTTCCACTCGTGCTTTTGGTATACTTCACATAAGTTCATATACCCATGTACTGTAGAAAACAGAAAGAGTCAGCTGTCAGACAGAAGCGTCCAAACAAATGAAAGCAGCGGTGGTGTGTTGTAGAGTTTGTCCGTGGCTGTATCTTTTGCCTTCGGGCTCCGGCGTAAACAGAGGACAGAGGAGCGTCTGCAGAACAATGTGTTTAAACAGAAACCAGACCGGCTCCGTACAGAGACCTGGCTTTAGGCCTGGACTCTACAGAAACCTGGGTAACACTTTACAACACATGTACATACAGGCTGTAAGTTCACGGTACACAGAGGTAAGTGATTATGTGGCACATCTGAAGTATTTACTCTGCTATTTCAGATCATACACTGGTCACTCTATATCCTATCCATTCACTACAACTGTCTGCTCCTATGTAGTTTTTTATTATTGATTTCTATTTAACCAGGAAATGTCAGAGATTCAGTTTAACATTGTCCTCAGTGTTCACTTCCTCCCTCTACTCCTCACCTGAGCTCATCACTGTCACCATTGCTGTGGACATTTCCTTAATGATCCATGGAAACAGAGCTGCATTTTGTGTGGTTTAATGAAAGTAAAAAGTACATGATAAGAACAAGCCTTTGAAAAAGGAGAAAGCTTCTGCAGTCCTCTCCTCGGACGCTGCATCAGTCTTTCTGACGCACAATGGGATTTACACAAGTTTTATCAGAATGGTCTGGTCCCTCATTGGCCAATTGTCAGAGGAAGAAACGCATGTCACACCTCTGCATTGATCACTTCAAAATAGGTAACTCAAGATTGGAAGAGCAGAGAAACAAGGGGGGTTAAGGGGGATCGAAAGGACAGGGGCAGAGGACACAGGAACAGGAAGATCACATCATCCACATGATAAAGAAAACAGTCACATCAATCACTGTCTAATAACTAAACCTGCGAACAATCTGCTTCTTAACTTCCTCAAACATTGTCCCAAATACCTTTGTGCTATGAAACAAAGCCTTCTGAATCATTTATTAACCATCACAATTCACCCACTATGCTTAAACCATGTTCGTGATATTTTTGCCATTACACCATCACAGCTGCATTTATCCAGAGCCTCTCAGTCCCTGCTCAAGCTGCTGTTTGTGCAGCAACACTCCTCCTCCCCATCATCATCATTGCATCAGTGGAGAATCTTCTTGCGATTGGCTCATCTTTTTTCTTCGTCTGTCTTTCTGCCTGTCTCTCTCTCTCTTTGTAAGTCGGTCTCTCTCTCTGCATTTGTCTCTTTGTCTGTCTTTTCATCTACAGACCAAACACTGGGAACAGTTGAGAAATGTGACATCAACATGTGAGACTACATTTTTCAGTTTATTTTGGATTAGAATTCAGACAGTTCCACGTGTTTGATCTGCCCATCGCTGTAGAAGAGTGAATCAACACCAAACAATTAAAACGTTTGTTATTTCTTTTATTTGAAAGCAGCTATTAAGCTGTGGAATATAGTTCATACATTTTCTTACATTTTTCCTTTTCAAAAATATAATATAAGTATATACAAAAATGTTCCCAATTCTTTAAGACACACATATTTCCAAACTATTCAAAGCAAATCTATTATATACAAACTATGTCTCGGAGCAGAAGAAGAAATACAAGACTTCAATAGAAATACACATAATCTTGAAAATATTTCTTTATCATTTCATGTTATAGAATATGTTTAATCCCACCCACGGGTCTCAAATAGGAGCAAGAACTTCGTCCACGAGCACTTCCTTATTGAGCGTCATTGAGCTAGCGGGTTAGCATTGTCCATCTATACACAGTCTGTGCAACTGACCCGCACCAATCACCAACAACCTTCACATGCCCTGATGAATAAGTTACAGAAATCTCTTCAATATTAAAATATATAACATCAGGCTTTTTGTATAAACTCTGGATTATGTACAATCAAAGCAGTGTCTGTGGTTGAAGATAGAAACTCAAGTTAAAGTTTGAGCTCGCAACGAACAAATACAAAAGCTTCGTCATCGACCAATCACATTATAGTTTCATATCTGCTCCAGCAAAGAACAAATAGGATGCATTACTTTATTTCCTGTTGCGGTCTCTCTATTTCTATGTGGTCTCTCTCTGTGGTCTCTCTCTGTTGTCTCTCTCTCTGTGGTCTCTCTGTGGTCTCTCTGTGGTCTCTCTCTGTGATCTCTCTCTGTGGTCTCTCTGTGGTCCCTCTCTCTGTGGTCTCTCTGTGGTCTCTCTGTGGTCTCTCTGTGGTATCTCTCTGTGGTATCTCTCTGTGGTCCCTCTCTCTGTGGTCTCTCTCTCTGGACTCTCTGTGGTCTATCTCTGTGATCTCTCTCTGTGGTCTCTCTGTGGTCTCTCTGTGGTCCCTCTCTATGTGGTCTCTCTTTGGTCCCTCTCTCTGTGGTCTCTCTCTGGTCTCTCTCTCTGGTCTCCATCTGATCTATCTTGTCTCCCTCTCTGGTTTCTCTCTGGTCTCCCTCTCTGGTCTCCATCTGGTCTCTCTTGTCTCCCTCTGGTCTCTCTCTGGTCTCTCTCTGGTCTCTCTCTGGTCTCTCTCGCTCTGGTCTCTCTCGCTCTGGTCTCTCTCTGGTTTTAAAGTGGTGTGAAAGTTAGGTACCCCAGCTTCAAACATCAGAATGAACACAAACAATGCTCAGTCCTCCAAAGCGCTGACTCTGACCGAGGAGAGGATTCTCCCGACGCTGGTGAAAAATGGAGAAACGAAAGAATCTGTGAAATGTCTCCACACGATCCTCAGCGACGGCAGCAGAACCAGGACAGCGCGCACAGCAGGCGTCAGCAGCCTAAAAAAGATAGATACTTTATTGAACTCCGTAGAAGAAATTCAGTTGTCCAGCAGCAGAAAACACGTCCATATAAACGTATAAGTATATCAATAATAAACATTTCTAACTAACTACCGAACAACAGTGCACATGTCTAACTCATACAGGTCGTTGTACAGTCTGACAGCCGAAGGAACAATCTATCTCTTAAAACGTTCCGTTCCGAGAGAAACACAGCAGAGAGGTGTTAATATGACTGATGCTGATATTACTGCTACTACTACTGCTACTGATACTGATACTGATACTGCTGCTACTGCTACTGCTACTGCTGTTACTGCTACTACTACTGCTACTGCTGCTATTACTACTGAAGCTGCCACGGCTGCTGTTACTGCTACTATCTCTACTACTACTATTGCTTCTACTTATACTGCTACTGCTACTACTGCTTCTAATACTTCTTCTTCTGTTGTTACTGCTACAACTACTGCTACTGCTGCTATTACTGCTGAAGCTTCTACTGCTGCTGCTGCTGTTACTGCTACTACTGTTACTAATACTACTGCTGCTACTGCCACTGCTGCTGCTGCTGCTACTACTACTATTACTTCTACTAATACTGCTACTGCTACTACTACTGCTGCGGCTAATGCTGCCACTACTTCTGCTACTCCTCCTATTACTGCTGCTGAAACCCTGACCACAGCTCTGGAAAATCTCTAATTATCTTAATAACCCAGTTTTCCACGTTGACATTTAAAGTTACCTCAAATAACCTACAGAAAATAAAAACCCACTTTTTTTTTTTCCGACTTTTCACAGATCTGTAAAATGTTCCAACCTTGTTTCTCATCAGTCACAGACCTGGAGTTGTGTTTGGATCCATGAACGCTAATATCAGGAACTTCTAAAAGCAGTCCTGTAACAGTATGATGTCATTGTACCCCTATGACATCGCACTCAGATCAGTTATAAAACAAAATTATTGCTCATAAAGTGAAATAACAGTCTTAACTTCTCCTCTCTCTCCTCTTGTCTCCTCCCCATTGCTCTGCCCCTGCTATCCTTTTCGTTCTCCCTCTCACCTTTCGTCTCCTCTCCCACCTCTCCTCTCCTCGCCTCTCCTCGCCTCTGTCTTCCCACCTCTCTCCCCCCTCTTCACTCTCCCCCATCTCCTCTCCTCTCTACCCTCTTTCCGCCCCTAAACCCCTGTTTTCCCCTTCATACTTATCCATAATTTTTTACACACTCTGAAACATGAAAATACAAAGTAAACAGTATTTATTTAGATTTTTAAAGGCCAAAAATAATGCATCATATGTCTCCTTTAACATCGGCTCCCCCCTCTCTCTCAGAGTTTTGACACATGGATTGACATTCCTGTAGTTTTCCACCTCTGGACAAACTTTCTAACTACACATCAGTGAAGTCTTCGTTCAGAGCCGAGCACAGAGATGCACCTGGGCTAAAGCTGAATACTTTGTGATTTCTGGACAGCTTTCATTGGACGTGTCTTGAGATTTATTGCAGGAACAAACCCAGAGGAGTGAATTAACCCCGTGACACTGACACATGTGATAAAGTACACAGGTGAACTTCAGGTGGGACAATGTTTTGAAATGTTTCCACCGTTTTGCTAATCGTAATGAGACATACCACACATGTGTTTGTTATTATATGGACAATCAGGATATTATTATACACTTAGAACATTTGAGATCTCATTATTGTATGTTTTATTAATGAAAATATCTCTGGTCTCTCTCTATCTTTCTGGCCCCCCCTCTCTCTGGTCCCTCTCAGTTCTCTCTGGGTTTTGTTGTTGTTGGTCTCTCTCTTTTTTTGGTCTCTATGTCTAGACTTTCTCTCTCTGGTCACTCTGGTCTCTCTCTCCGGTACCTCTCCTGATCTCTCTCTTCTTTTGGTCTCTCTGGTCTCTCTCTCCGGTACCTCTCCTGATCTCTCTCTTCTTTTGGTCACTCTGGTCTCTCTCTCCGGTACCTCTCCTGATCTCTCTCTTCTTTTGGTCTCTCTCCGGCCTCTCCCTGTCTCTGGAATATACAGTATCTCTCTCTCTCTCTCTCTCTCTCTGTCTCCACTCTGGTCTGTCCCTGGTCTCTCTGGTCTCACTCTGGTTTCTCTTTCTGGGCTTATTTGAGCTTGCAGGTTTGCATCTTTATACAAGTTAAGTTAAAAACAAGTGATAGAACCAAAATGTTTATCTTATGACAAATGCAGCCTGCGGAAACTCAATTCTGGAAGGCTGACCTGCTGCAGCCCATCCCTTCCAGGCCTGCCCCGCATCCTCGGTCTATCGCAACAGCAACGCCCATTCCCCGCCAACCTCTGCCCGCCAGGCCAGCAGCTTCAAAGCGGAGACTTCCTTCTCAAGCCTCGCAACCACTGCCTTCCCTCCTCTTTCTTTTCTATCCTTCTCTCGTGCGTGCGCTCTCTTCCTTGCTGCCCAAGTGCCACCACCAGTACCCAGGCCCCGGGGGATCGCATGCGCACACAATCAGGAGCCTCGCTTAACAGTGCCGCTACCGGGGCCTAGGGCGCCAAACATCTTATTCATAAAAATACTTCAAATTGCATTTGTCTCATAAGTCTCTCCAGATTGAAATGATACATGGATTATAAAACTGGTCATTGAAAGTTTGAAAGTTAAATAATCAACAAATGGATACATTTGTTGTTCTGTACAATACCCATTGTCAGTAAACGGTAACAACAAAAATAACATATTATTTTAATCTTTTCCTTCAATATCCTTGATTTTGTCCTGTTATGAAGCCTGCCCCCTCCTCCTCGGTCGATTTGTCTATTTGCTGTTTTTTTCCTCTTGTCCTCTTTGACACAAACTCTTGAAATTCTTCACATTTTCAGACAGGACCCACGCTTTTTGATTTTAGTCTTTCACTGAACAAAAACAGGTTAGCAGCGCTCTAAACAAAGCGAACACTGCTCTGTCCTCCTCTGTGAGTGTGAGCTCCTAATATGGGAAATAAAGTAACACAAATGCCACAGCTATTTACACAACGATTCAGGAGAACGTTACAAGAGTGTTCTTTTGTAAATAGTGGAATACTTTGTCATTTTGCTGCTGGTTTTAAGACAAAAGTACGCTCTCCCTTAAAGCTGGGGAATGTGATTTTCACATGAACCCCTGGCTCTTAAACAGTTTGCTTATATCACTAATGTGTTTTTTTCTTCTCAGATAAGTTAAATAGAGAGGACCACCCTCACTCAGCAAATTAGCTCCCAGCCCAAAGAGTCAAATACAGACTCAGGGCTTTTCTTGCACAAAAGTTAACTTGTTTTCTAAAAAGAAGAAGACAGGATGTTGTGGTCTGATTCTTCATAACATTTTACTTTTATAAGACCTGCACCTGTGAACTGGCCGTCCCCTGCCAGGACCCATGGGCTGAAACCCCCCTCCCTGCCTGGGAACCTCCTGAATCTACAACCTGTCCGTCCGTGGGAGCAGATCCCTCTCTCAATTTGGGTCTCCTAGAGGTTTTTCACATTTCCGAAGTGCGTTTTTGAGTGGTTCCTTGCCAATCCAGGAGGGTCCAAGTTTAGGGTCCATTTATTAACATGTATGAATGAACCAATGGCTCCTATGTATTGCATTTTCATTGTTAGAACTATCTTTCATCTCTCTGGTCTCTCGGATCTGTTGTTGTTGGTGATGTTGGGCGACACACAAATATATTGAAATGATGCATTGCAAAATTATTGAGAACAAAATGTATTATTTCAGAAAATAAAAAGTTAAATACCCCAGATTTAAACCTTCAACTATCAGAGGTCCCCTGAAAGCAGACAGAGCCTCTTACTCCTGAGAGGAAGGTTACCATATGTGCAGGAGGCTGAGCAGGGCGAAGACCACTCCGAGCAGGAAGGCCATGGGCACGGCCAGTACAGTGGTCAGCAGCCGATAGAACAGGAACTTGACCAGCTCGAAGCCAGCGTGAGACCAGAGCCAGACCGAGTCGCAGCTGTGGGAGGAGGACGGCTCCGCGATCACATCCTCGAACACCACCTGAAAGACAAAAGCTCCCAGGATCAGGACACGTATGAGCTAATTGGATCTCGCTGTGGAGGAGATGTTTGCAGTGCTATGAAGGCGTTCACCCAGACCTCAAGTCTGAGTCCAAATTAAAGCTGTGTCAACGGGAAGTTTATGTCTTAATATGTGACAAAAGATTGATGATCGTGGGAGTAATCAGGCTAAATTGGAGTCTGCATCTCCTGCGACCAAGTAACATTCATGAGCAGTATGCAGACGGACAATGCAAACCCACAAGCTCAATATCCCCCAATAGGGAAGTGCTCATGAACAAAGTGTTGCTCTAATTCGATCTGGCTCCTATTGACTTACATGGAACTACTTTTCCATGTAGCTCAGTAACCGGTTGTCTCACACTCACCATTTAAAGCTTAAGACGTGTGTCCGCCAGCTCTACTTGGCTCGACTCTATATTTACTCAATGTTGACTTGGCAGAGTTTCTACCAGCCCTGTTTAACCAGTACCAGGTCTTCAGCCCCTCTTAGTCCTGGTTCTATCCAGGACAAGCTTTTGTTATAACTGACAGTGATTGGCCAGAGGGCTGCTGGAAGTCATGGTTGGTCGGAGGGGCCACTCATGACCAAGAAAGCGCTATATAAAAAACAATGCATTAACCACAGGACTTCCCCGGGGTCTCCTCCCGGTGGGACATGCCCAAAATTTTCAATGTAAGTCAATAGGAGCGAGAGCATTGAGTGTTGGAGCAAAACTTTGTCCATGAACACGTCTCTATTGGAAATCATTGAGTTAGCAGGTTAGCATTGTTCATCTATATACCGGGGCAGCTGACAGTGGTTTAGGTCAGCAACCACTAAACCAACAAGGACCAAAGTTCAATTCATTTACAAAAACATAAAACTTTGTCCAATCACAGCATTTCGTGTTCAAACCGTCCTGAATCTGATGACATAAGTCGACTGGTGCCGTGTGGACGCTCCTCTTGATTGGAAAACAGCCGTGAAATGACCGGCCTTTTCACTATTTTCCACTTAAGTCCTGCTGTCGTGAGTTTCTTTATTCTGAGCGCTGAGAGTCCATGGAAACATTGAGCAAAGCTGACGGCGATGTCTGTGTATGGAGCAAAATGTACGCTTTCCATGTCTGAATTATACAACTCTGCTTTATGGAAAATACAAGAGGATTTCAATAAAAAGACCAAAACGAGTGGACTGGCCACTACATTTATGTCTCTCTATAGTCTCCCTTTGGTCAGTCTCTGGACTCTCTCTGGTCCGTCGCTGGTTCCTCTCTGGTCTCTCTTTGTTCTTTCGCTCTCCATTCCGTCTCTGTTCTCTTTCTCGTCTTTCTGGTCTCTCTCTGGTCTCTCTCTTTGGTCTCTCTCGGGTCTCTCTTATGTCTCTCTCTTTGGTCTCTCTCTGGTCTCTCTCCATGGTCTCTCTCTTTGGTCTCTCTCTGGTCTCTCTCTCTGGTCTGTCTCTTTGGTCTCTCTCGGGTCTCTCTGGCCTATCTGGTCTCATTCTTTGTTGTTCTCTCTAGTCTCGCTCAGGTCTCTTTCTGGTCTCTCTCTCGGGTCTGTCTCTGGTCTCGCTCTTTGGTCTCTCTGGCCGCAGTCTCTCTCTCTTGTCTATATGGTTTTTCTATTGTCTCTTTCCGATCTTTCTTTTGCTCTCCCACATCAGGCTCTCATCATGTTAGACAGTTAGTCCATCAAGAAGGACACTCTACATTTTACAACATTTATGGACATTTATCAGCATTCATGGACATTGGTCTCTCCCTATGGACCAATACCAATCTGTTCTATATTGTTTGTGTCTTAACCGTTGATTCTCTGATCCGTGTTTTTTTTAAGTCCTCTGAAACAACTACTATTGTGATTTAGGGCTATACAAGAATAAAAATGGAATTGAATTTAATATATACAAATTTCACATTTCAAATCGAGAATAAGAATAACACAGTTTTTATGACTGTAATTTTTTAAATAGCAAATACATTTTTAGACTAATTATGGCTTAAATAAGTGGATAATATTTTTTTGGTATATAATATAGGTATAATATATGCGGTGATCACAAGCTATTGATCTCTTGAGTAACTTAAAGGAGCGAACAGAATCCCAGATGACAACAATGACATATCCGGAGAACAGAACCTCCCACTCCAGAACTCTGAGATCCCACTGTAATTACAGTGCGCTTTTGTTGGGATCAGACCTTCGCGGCGCGTCTGTTCCACTCCCATTACGCGCGGCATTTCCAGGCATTCTCCTCACAGGTCCACACATCACACACACAATACGCATTCACGATGATTTGTTTTGTACCTGAAGGTGCGAGTTGATTTCCTCCGGGTCCCGTGCGCCTGCCGTGCCCGCGTACAGCGCCTGTTTCCCGGACAGGATGGGCTCGATGGAGCGGTGGTACTCATCCCGGTCCATGATGGTGCTGGAGTCCAGTTTCTCCCTTTCCAGACCCATGGTGGGAACAGGAGTTTGGAGAGCTTTTGGCTTATGGCTTTTACGCAGCGCTGTGGACGGGCGTGCGCGCTCCCGTGTGGTGCGCGCGGTGATGAGGGACGCTACTGTTCCCGGAGCGTCATTAGGAGTCGAGAATAGATGAGCTGTTTGAACACAGTCTGCTGTAGGCTGCAAGAGGCTCCAGGATTTAAGTGGCGTTCCAAACTTTATGAGCAGAAAGATATTTGGTTTTGAAGAAAGAAGTATAAACTTTATTGACCTCTCAATGGAGAAATACATATATATATATATATATATATATATATATTTAGAACTTTTTCATTCTAAAACCAAAGAAGAGAATAAACCCACTCTCTCTGGTTTCTCACTGGTCATTAGTCTCTCTCTGGTCACTCTCTCTGATCTCACTCTGGGCTCTCATGCTCGCTCCACTCTCTCTGGTCTCTCACTGGTCGTTCTTTCTTTGGTCTCTGTCTGGTGTCTCTCTCGCTGGTGACTCTTACTGGTTTTTTTGTCAGGGCTATCTCTGCTCTCTTGGGGGACTGGTCTACTGGCTCTCACTAGTCTCTCTTTGGTCTCTCTCTTGGTTAAAATTAATTAAAAACATTAACATTATTGAGAAAATGATCAACCATAATGTATTAATTGTGAAAAGTACTGAAACAAAACATTCCTAGTTCTTACAATGTGAGAATATGAACAAGGATTTGTTTTGTCCCATATTCTCCATCACGTCACTCTGCCCATAGCTGCTTCCTCTCTCACTCTTGGGCAGCTGTGGAAAGAGACCAGGGCGGGACTGGGACCAGTGTTTGCTTTGGGAACTGCCTACAATGTGCACTCAGAGAGCGGGGAATCTGACCCACAACCGGAATCTTCTTGGACCAGCATTATGTGACACTATATGCGCTTTTCTCCACGATACATTGTTATCTCGTGGAAAACAGAGCTGGTGTTTGTAGCTGGTGTTTGTGAGGAGATTGTGTTGCTGTTGCAAGTTCATTAGTTCATGATATAAGTGAAAAAACAGCAGCTCCCTCAATCAGCTCAGACTGTGACTCACAGGAAGAATGCATAAGATTATAATGAAATTCAAACAGTATGGAGTCGTGGTTTAGACCGGGTTTTAAACCTGGTTTAGTCCTGGTGTAGTCTTGATATAGACCTGGTTTAGTCCTGGTTTAAACATGCTTTAGACCTGGTTTAGTCCAGGTTTAAGCCGGGTTTAGACCTGGTTTAGTTCTGGTTTAGGCCTGGGATAGACCTGGTTTAGTTCTGCTTTAGACCTGGTTTAGTTCTGGTTTAGGCCTGGGATAGACCTGGTTTAGACCTGGTTTAGTTCTGCTTTAGATCTGGTTTAGACCTGGTTCTGTGGTATGTGGCAGGAGTTTGCAGCCGCTGGACAAATGTGATGGATGTCTCCCAGCTGAAGTATTTGCAAAGACTTCAGGCAAAAGAACTGGGATCACTTGAGAATTAATACAATTGATACATGCTGTTTTTATGGTATTTTTTTCTTTTACAGAAGAAATGTAACACATTTATTTTAGCCGTTTAAAGCATACCTTAGACCATGCAGAATCAGAAAATCTTTAGTTGATGTCAGAATGACAGCCACATTGGGTTTAAAAAATGGCTACTTTCAAAGATGAATGTTTATATCTCACATCTACATCTACGAATACCTATGATACAGCTCCATAAGGCCTTTTTAAACCAAAAGTATTGCTTCGCATTTAGTTTTGGTGAAATTGTCCTCTTCTGTGGCTGTATTTGCTGCGTCCAAGGTTTGATGTTGAGAAAAAACCAATGAAATACACCTCTCTTTTTGGTGGTAGATGGTGGGAATGACTTGGTCTTGGTTTAGACCTGGGATGGTCCTGTGTCGCTGATTCTTGTTCACGCCAATATCAAACGTCCAAAAGCAGCACTCTCTAACTTGTCTATGCACTTGTGTACTCAGCCTTTTTGAAACTTTTGAGTGGTAGAAATGGTTAATTACATGATACGTGTCCTTCAGGACGAGGAGAAGGTCAGTGTTTTACTTGTGATGTGAAATGTCACATCAAAACCCCAAAGGAGAAACTCCAACACAGATTCTGAGAAGTGTCATCTTCAGTCCTCCATGATCCGGAGGTCTTCCTGCAGTCGCTGGTGCGATTCCCAGAGCAAATTCCCAACGTTCCCAAAGACTTGTGAGGTCATCGGAAAGAGATCAGCCTCCAGAACAATGAGAGCTGCTTCCTCCAACACTCTGGGGATGAGAGCTGCAGAAACCAGAGAGAGACAAGAGAGACCAGAAAAATACTGGTGAGAGAGACCAGAGAGAGACTAGAGAGAAACCAGAAAGACGAGAAAAAGAACAGATACGGAATGAAGAGCAAAAGAACAGAGAGAGACCAGAGAGGAACCAGCGACGGACCAGAGACTGACCAAAGGGAGACTAGAGAGAGACCAGAGAGAGACCAAAGAGCTGCAGGTCAGGGAGGAGTCAAGAGACCAGAAAGAGGCCAGAGACCAGAGTGAGATGAAAGAGAGACCGAAGAGAGAACAGAGATAGACCAGAGAGATGCAGATCAGGGAGGATTCAAGAAACACGTGCATTCAGTGGTTCAGAGAGAGACCAGGGAGACACCAGAAAGACTCCAGTGGGATACTGGAGACCACAGAGAGAGAGTCCAGAGACACCAGAGGGAGACTAGTGAGAGACCAGAGCGAGATCAGAGAGGGACTATGAGAGACCCGGGCGGCACGGTGGCTGAGTGGATAGCACTCTCGCCTCTCAGCAAGAAGGTCCTGGGTTCAAATCCCTGCCGGACCAGGGCCTTTCTGAGTGGAGTTTGCATGTTCTCCCCGTGTCTGCGTAGGTTTCCTCCGGGTACTCTGGTTTCCCCTACCACTAAAAATATGTCCAATAGTTCAAGCATGCGCCTCCTGTACTGGCGACCCCACTCCCATCTCTGTGTGGAGTGAGTAGACAAATGCCCAAAAGTAATAACAATTGTAAACCGCTTTGTGACTCTGGTCTGTGAAAGACGGTATATAAATAAAGATTACTTACTTACTTACTTACTAGCTGCAGGTCAGGAGGGACTCAAGAGACAAGTGCATACAGTGGTTTAGAGAGAGACCAGAGAGACCAGAGAGACTAGAGAGACCAGAGGGAGAGAGGCTAGAGAGAGACCACAGAGAGAGGCCAGAGGGCTACAGGTCAGGGCGGAGAGAGAGACTAGAGAGAGACCTAAGCAAGACTGAAGAAAGACCAGAATGAGACAAGAGAGAGACCCAATAGAGACCAGAGAGAGACCAGAGAGTGGGACCAGAGAGAGAAAGACCAGAGAGACCCCAGAGAGAGACAGCAGAAAGAGAGACAGCAGAGAGAGAGACCTGAGTGAGACTGCTTGGGCGTGTTTTTAATGATGCATATTTTTCTTTGTGGCTGATGCTGAACTCCTGTCTCCAATTTACTTTTGCACAACTTTGTAAAACACATAATTTGCAGACAGCAAAACCTCAGCGTCATTCAGCCATAACTGTCAAATAAATCACTTTCCATAATTAAAATGAATGTGAGACACCAGAGAGTGGTTAGAAGAGAGTGTGGGATTCACAAAGGCTGTGGCCCTCCCCTTCTGTCTAAATGCTCTGTTTGTAAACTCATTACACTATAACCCAGGACAACAGTGGGATGTGTGACTTTTTTCTCTGTGTTCCAAACTTATTCATCGTCAATCTCAGACCTGGAGATGTTTCGAGATCTATACACGCTGATATCAGGAACTTCTGGCATGTACACACACTTACACACATTCACACACACACACACACACACACCCCCACACACTCAAATACAATCTTAGATATTTTCCCCTTCATGCCATAAATTCACTAATTATAATGGTAAATTGAGCTTTGTATTAACGGTACACTGTGTAATTTTGAGTGCCATCTAGTGTTGAGATTTTATATTGCAGTCCAAGGTACTACGAACGCCTTTGATAGAAACTGTGTCCTTGAAAGTGCTCCTCAACTCTCAGTCATTCACCAGCTTTTAAAGCAACGATATCAGTAGCTCATGTGAAACAAAAACGCGATTCTCACATTCTTTTTGTCCCTTATCCACTACGGAAGCCTTTCACCAGACTGCCAAGGAAAGAATACTTTAGTTTGATAAATGACCGGATCTTTTCAAATGTCTCGGGCAAATGATATTTTTCTGGCTACAGACTCTGGGCACACTGTTGCTCTTCTTCTGTTGGATCTGACAGCAGCATTTGAAACGGTGGACCACCACATACTACTGTCCCGCTTGGAGAACTATGTTGGCCTCAGAGGTGTAGCCCTGTCCTGGGTCAGGTCTTATTTGACTGACCGGAGGTTTCCGTCCGGGTTGGTGATGCTGAGTCCTCCATGGCTTCACTTACATGCAGGGTTCCCCAAGGGTCAGTACGTGGACCTCTACTGTTTTCATTGTATTTGTTGCCTCTTGGAGAGATTCTTTGAAAACATAATGTATCGTTCCATTTTTATGCGGACGACTGTCAATTGTACGTGCCACTGACTCAGTCCAAGTCATTGATTGTATGTCTGGATCAGAATCAGAATCAGAATCAGAATCATTTTTATTGCCAACGTAAGTAACGGGAGGTCACAGACTTGGAAATTGCTTTGGCTCAGTGCAACAGTCAAAAAGAGATAATAAAAATAAGAATAAAAAACACTTCTAAAGAATAAATTTAAATTTAAAATAGAGTTACAGTTACTATTTACAATATACAAGTGCACATGGTGCACACAATGTAAGGTGACAGCAGTACAGTGAAGTAAAGTGACGTATGATGGGCAGTAAAGTGACTTTATAAAGGGCGGGGGGGACAGGTTAAGAAGTGTTCAAGAGTCCAACAGCAGAGGGGAAGAAACTGTTCTTGTGGCGGGAGGTTCTAGTCCTGATGGACCGCAGCCTCCTGCCTGAGGGGAGTGGTTGGAATAGTCCATGTGCA